GGGGGTTTGCGGGCAGGGGGAATGTGAGGGGAGGGGGCGGCGGGTCGCGATATGTCGCGATAGGTCGCGCCCCCCACCCGGGGGCCCCCCCCTCCCCCGATCCCAGCCCCGCGCGCGCCGCCCGCGCTCACCGCCAGCGCCGCCGCGCCCACTTCCGGGCGTGGCCACGCCCACTTCCGGCACGTCCCGCCCCATAGAGCCGGGAGGGGGCGTGGCCGGAGCGGCGCGCGGCAAGATGGCGGCGGCCAGGGTGGGGGGGGAAGGGGGGGAAAACTGGGAGGGCAAAGGGACGGGAAGGGGGTAAAAGGACAGAGGAAGGAGGGAGAGTGGGAAAAGCAGGTTAAAATGGCAGGGAAAAGGTAAAACGGGGAAGGAGAAGGAAAAAATGTCGGGAAAGGGGGGAAAAGAAAGGGAAAGTGGGAAAGGGGAAAAACGGGGAAAAAGGGAGGGAAAGGGGAAAAACGGGGAGGGGGGGAAGGAAAAGGAGGGGAAAGGGGTGAGTCTGGGGGAGAGGCAGGATGGGAGGAAAAGAGGAGATAAAAAAAGGTGGAGAGTCTGGGCAGACGAAAGGGGATTTTTTTGGGGAAAATGGAGACCTGGGGGACTTATGGGTTCTGGGCAGCGGGGTTTGTTTGGGGGGGCCGGGGTTAGGAATCGTGTCCAGTAGGATTTGGGGAGGTCCCTGTGTGCAGGCACTCCCAGGCCTGATATCCCTGTGCTTTCCCTGTTCCCTCCAGCTCTGCTTCCTGCGCCGGCATCTCCTGTGGCCGCTGATCCCGCAGCGCGGCTACCGGGGGGATTCCCCCACGGATTCCGGGAAGGACGTGCTGGAGATCCCGCTGCCCCCCTGGCAGGAGCGTCCGGACGAGCCGCTGGACACCAAGAGAGCCCGGCTGCTGTACGAGAGCAGGAAAAGGGGGATGCTGGAAAACTGCATCCTGCTCAGGTGGGCTTGGCTCTGAGGATTCCAGGTCCTTTGATTAACAGGGAAGAGATTATTGAGGTAGTGCAAAAATCCGTGGGATAAGTTGCTCCAAGATCTTGCTGTTTCAGGATCCAGTGATGGAGTAGAGCTGGGTGAGCTCAGTGAGCCAAAATCCTTTGGGAAGGATGTATGTAAATCCTGGGACATGTGAGCGCAAGGCCGGTTGGATTTTGGGATTGAAGGAGAGATTAGAGACATAAAATTGTGGAATTCTGGAATGGTTTGGGTGGGGAAGGACCTTAAGGAAACCTTTCCCTATCCCAGGTTGCTCCAAGCCCTATCTGATCTGGCTTGGACACTTCCAGGGATGGGGCAGCCACAGCTTCTCTGGGAAGTCCATTCCAGAGCCTCAGCACCCTCTTAGGAAAGGATCCCTTTCCAATATCTCATGTGAACAAGCACATGGAATCCTGGAATGGTTTGGGATGGAAGGGACTTAAGGGTCATCCAGTTTCACCCCCTGCCATGGGCAGGGACACCTTCCAGCAGACCAGGCTGGATAATGGGATTCCAGGGGTGGAGATTCCAGAGCTTCTCTGGGAATGCCGTGCAGGTGTTTTCCCACCCTCTGAGGTGCGGGAGAGCAGGCTGGGTGTCCGTGTTTTCCAGGATCCCATTGAGCTGGTTCTTAGATCCCAGCTCTTCCTTCATCTCCCGCCCATCCTGATCCATCCCTCTGCAGCCTCTTTGCCAAGGAAAACCTGGCGCGCATGAGCGAGGAGCAGCTGAACCGCTACGACCGCCTCATCAACGAGCCCAGTAACGACTGGGACATTTATTACTGGGCCACTGGTACGTGTGGCCACGCCCTGGGACACCCGCTCGGCACCGGGGGACAGCGCTCAGCTGATTGTTCCCTCTTTTCCCCTCAGAAGCCAAGCCCACGCCGGCGGAATTCGACACCGACGTGATGGCCATGCTGAGGGAATTTGCCAAAAACAGGAACAGGGAGCAGAGGCTCCGGCAGCCGGACCTGGAATATCTGTTTGAGCCACCGCGCTGAGGGAGGGGACGCCTCTGTCCCCGTTCCCTGGAGTAGCGCAGGGACATGGGGCTCTGGACTGGCGTTTCCACCTTCCCTATGGTTTTCCTCCTCTCTCAGCAGCCTCTGGACACTCGTGGAATGCTGAATAAAGCCCTGGCTACCCGCCTTGCCTGGCTGCTGGCCTTGCCCCTCTCCTGCTTTGTGACATCGGGGTCGGGCCCTCGGTGACATTCCCAGCTCAATCTGCCACATGCCACCTCACTGACATTCCCAATTCCCACCTTCCCCTTTTCCCAGGACCCCCAGGAGGTGACCCCACCCCGGGGCGGGGGCTGGAGCGGGACATTCCCGGTGTCCTCCAGCGACAGCCAGGGAGGTTGTCCGACCTCCTGCCGTCGGTGACAGCCTCCCGGGAGGTCCCCGTTGTCGCGGTTACCAGGAGACAGAGTCGCGTTCCACGGGCACATTCCAGCTTCCGGGCCTGCTGGGAAGGCCCCGCACCTCCAGTGCACCTCCAGCCATGGCGTAGCGCCTTGCCTCGGGCCATTCCCGCCGCCAGGGGCCCATTCCCAGAGCCAGGATGCCGTCCCTGCCGCAGGACTCGCCCGCCGCGGGATTGGGGACGGGGTTCCCCATGGTGAGGGGCCCCCCCTCCGAGCTCAGGGATTTCTACGTCACCACCTACCAGGCGGCCTTCGGGAAGAGGCCCACGGGGTCGCCCCAAAAGCTGAAGGAAGGGCGCGTTTTGGGGATCGAGCCCCCCAGTGACAGGAGCATCCGGCCCCTCCTCGGCGTCCACGCCGGCTCGGGATACGTTGTCAACAACTACTCATCGCTCAGATCCCTGATCTCCCCGCACGTGGAGCGGTAGGTCCCTGCTCCAGGAGTTTGGGGGGCGCGTTTTGGGATCGCTCCATCACAGCCATTCCCACCACAGCCAGGACACCGACGTGTCCACCACCTCCGAGGACTTCAAGGTCTTCGGGCGCCCGGATTACCAAAGGATGTTGCCCGAGCATGTGGATGATCCGCAGTGTCCGTATCCCACCGGCTTCTCCTTTTCCCGCCTCCGTTTCGGGGAGGTGAAAGCCCCGAAAGCATCCGGGGAATACGGCACCCAGAGCCACTGTGCCAGTCCTGCCAAGCCAGGTATCGTTTTGGGGTCTTGGGAATCCCAGGGAAAGCTCCAGCCTTAGTGGGAGGGTTTTGGGGTGTTGAGATCCCAGGGAAAGCTCTATTCCCAGGAGATTCTGGGGTCTTGGTTATCCCAGGGAAAGCTCTGTCCTTAAGAGGATTTTGGGGTGTTAGGATTCCTAGGAAACCGCCATCTGCAGGAGGGTGTGAGGCCCTGGGGGTTCCAGGTCCAGCTCCAACATCAAGAAGGTTTTGGGATTATTGATGGTCCCAGAGCCATATCCAACTCTAGGGATTTTGGGATGTCAGTGTTCCTGGCGCCAGGTCAGACCTCAGGAGGTTTTGGGAGTATTGGAGACCCCCTGCCCCCCTCAGACACAGTGGGACAGGTGTATCCAGGTAATGCCAGGCCTGGGGACACGGGGGACATCCCTGCTCCATCTGCTTCCCACAGATGTCCCACCGAGGGTAACGGAGCTGTCGGGCTGCACCGGGAGCGCCCCGAGGAGTGACCTCACCCTGCCAGAGCAGCCTGTGAGCCCCGTCCCCACCGTGTCCCCTGTCCCCCCGCCCCTCAGCACCCCAGGGGACACTTTTCCTATCCCACAGCTTGATGTCGGTGATGGTCGGATGGATTCCTTTCCTGACATGTGCAGCACTGTAAGCAAAGGGATGGGGTGGCGAGGGCAGGGGACACTCTATCCCCGTGCTCCCAGTGGGCTCTGAGGCGGCCATGGGAGCTGCCTGGGCATGGGAATGAGCAGGATCTCATCCCTGTGTCCCCCCACACCCGCAGCCTGCAATGGGCCAGCCTGCCCCCTTTGCCCCCCCGGAGCTCCGAGTGGGACCCAAGGGAGTCATTGCCGTGAAGGTCGGTGCAGCCCAGCCATGTCCCCTGTCCCCATCCCTTTTCCCAAGGAAGCACGTTCCCAACCCGCTGCATCCCACAGAAGCCACTGGCCTACAGCACTGTCCACAACAAGTTCCTGAACAAGCTCTCGCCGCTGGCCCCCGTAGCACCAGGTGAGTTTGTGGGGGGATTGCAGCCCCCAGGAGGAGTGGACACTCCCCTCACCAATCCCTCCTGGATTTTCCAGGCTGGTGGGCACAGCCTCCAATCACCTGGGCCCCGAGATCTGTGGAGGGCATCCAGATCCCGAGTCCCAGTGGCTTCAGCACCAACAACCGCCCCACCATCCTGTGGCGCGTCGATGACCCCCTGACATGACCCCCCAAAAAGTGCTGCTGCGCCCTGGGAATCCCATCCTCGGCTTTTCCCAAATGCCCGTAGGAGGAATAAAGACCCTGTGTGATGCCATGGGGTTGCTCCCTCATTTTGGGGGTTTCCTGCATCCCAAAAGCTTGGCAGGAGGGGTGTGGGTGGTCAGGGGGTGTCGCCTGGCTAGCTGCCGCTGGAGGGCTGTACGAGCCCGGCTTTCCAGCTTTCCGAGCCGGCTTTGGGATGACACAGCTGATTTGCGGCAGGAAAATCTGGGCAGGGCTGTGGTGGGAAGCAGGAGGATGAGGAGGAGGAAGGACCCCGCAGGGTGGGCAGCCGTGGCACGGGGGGCACTTGGAGAGGCTTCATCCATATCTTCCCTGTCCATGGGGAATGGGATCTGTGCCCCAGGGAGTGGCTCCCGGCAGGGTCCCAGGGGATGTGAGGAATCACAGAGGGGCTCCCCACCAGTTTAGGGACCCCCACCCAGTCAAGGCATCCACACACAGCTCAGGGAGCCCCTCCTGCCAGTCAGGGATTCCCACCCAGCCCAGGGACCCCACACTCAATTTAGGGCCTTGCACCGAATTCAGGGTGAGGACGCTGGTGCCAGGCTGCTGGAAGAGGGGCTGGGAATGCTGGGGTGCGAGGGGGCCCTGCCTGGTTTGGGGGCAGAGCCGGGACATGCAGGACAGGAATGGGGCTGGGTAGGCGTGGGAACGGTGGGGCGGGGCATGAATGGAATTGGTGGGCGTGGCCCAAATGGGCGCGAGCTGAGGGGCGGGGCTGTACCCCAGTGGCGCGGGCTCCCATTGGCCGCGGCGCGTTGCCATGGCCACGGCGTCGCCCTCCCCCCCGCCGGGCCCGGTGCAGGTCCCGGTGCCGGTCCCGGTGAGCGATGGGCAGCGGCGGCTCCTCGGGGCGCGGGGCCCGGCTGGCGGCCGCCGAGGGCCCCGACGGCGTCGAGCAGCGGCTGGAGGTGCGGGGCCGGCAGGTCCCGGCCGAGCTGTGGGCTCAGCAGGGGCTGCGGAAGCTCTACCTGAGCGACGCGGGGCTGCGGGAGGTCCCGGACGAGCTGGCGGAGCTGCAGCACCTGCGGACCCTCGCCCTGGACGGCAACGAGCTGATGGAGGTGCCCGAGGCCGTGTGCGACCTGCCCCACCTGGCGCACCTGTACCTGGGCCGCAACGGGCTGCAGGGGCTGCCGCCCTCCTTCGCCCAGCTCCAGAGCCTGCGCTGCCTCTGGATCGAGGGAAACTTCTTGGCGCACTTCCCCCGCGCCCTCCTGCAGCTGCCGGAGCTGCGCAGCCTGCAGCTGGGGGACAACCGGCTGTGCCGGCTGCCCGCGGCGCTGCCCCGCATGGCCGGCCTGCGGGGGCTCTGGCTCTACGGGAACCGCTTCCAGGAGTTCCCGCCCGTGCTGCTGCGCATGGATCACATCCGCGTCCTCGACCTGGATCGCAACCGCATCGCCAGCTTCCCGGACCTCAGCGGCCTCGCTTCCCTGCGCCTCCTGTCCTACGACCACAATCCCGTCCGGCAGCCACCCTGTGTCGGGGATGAAGTGCAGCTGGTGGGGGACGGGGCGCAGGAATACATGGAAGCGCGGCAGGAGCGGCTGCAGAGCCTGCAGCGCCAGGAGGAGGAGGAGGAGGGCACGGAGGCCGCCCCGGTATCCCCCGAGGATGGGCCGGAGGATGGGGAGGGGGAAATTGCGGCCCTGACAGGATCTCCTGAGGAAACGTGAGCCGCTGTCCCCCTGAAGGGGTGCAGAGCCTCCACCTGACTCCCAGGGAATTCCCATCTAGGGCCGGGAAAGGAGGAAGTTCACAGCCTCCACAAAGGAAAACCAACGGTCTGAGGAGCAGCCTTAGCCCGTTGGGACAGCACCGTTGTGTCCTGGATTGGCAGGGCTCACGGATCCCAATGGTTATCCCACCTGAGAGCATGCCGCCTACTCCTGGGTGCCTTGGATTGGGATACAGCCTCCTTCCCTGAGGTGTTCACCTCACTGCCGCCCCACGAGAACGAGGACATTTCCACTCCTCCACCTCTGAAAATCCTTTACTTCTCTCCCAATGGGCAGGACAGGAAAAAGCAATGCTGGTTGCATCCATTCCATGGATCCCATCATCCTAGAGAGCTCTGAGGTTTGGGAACAAAGGCACAGACCCTGAGAACCCCATCCTCCTGCGGGAATTGGGCTGGGGCAGAGAATTTTCCACCAGGCTCCTCTTGACCATCAGGTTTGGGAAGGAGCTGATGGAAATTCCACCTGGATCAAAGCACTGCCTCTCTCCAACCTGGACAGGGTTTTGCCTCTGTGGGAAGAGCAGGCTCATCCCTGGCACTCTGTCCCAAAACGGGCACCAGATCCAGGGCTGACACCTTATCCTTCCTCTTCCTCTCTCCAAGTGCCTCTTGGACCAAACGCAGGCAATAAAAAGCACAAATCCAAGGAATTTGTTGTGAGAGAAAAGTGGTGGGGACCAGCCTCAGGGAAGGGTTTATTTGGGATCCCCTAAAACCAAGTGGCATATCCTGGTGTGCAACCAACAGCTCCTCTTATTTTGGACATCCAAGGAATCCTGATTCCCTCCGTCCATCTCTGAGCTGAGCCTTTGTGGTGGAAAGCTTGGGGATCCGAGGTCTGCAGCTCACTGGAGGTTTCAAACCACACATCCGCTTTTAATGGCCATGGATTTGGGTTTGGGGCTGGGAGGCAGCCAGAGCTCCTGCCACATCCGCTCCGGCACTGCAGGGTGATGCTGCCGGCTTTTCCCGCCACTTCCTATTCCGCAGCAGGAACCACGGCTATTTTGGACACGTGGAACTTCCTCAGCTGCAGGATGTGCAGGAGCTGTCGGTGCCAGCTCCTCCGGGGTAATTTCAGGGATTTGGGGCTTAGCAGGAGCTTTGAATCAGGTCTTCCCAATAGGTGCAGGCTGTCAATCCCTTTTCCCACCCAGGTACCCATCACTGTAAGGCACAGCATCCCATCCACCGACGACATCCCAGAAACACACTCCTGGAATTCTGGGTGTCTCCCAGCCCTTCATGCCATCCCTCCAGGGTGCTGCTGCTTTATCTGGGAAGACACTGCTGCTAATTAGCAAGGAATTATCCATGATCCCGAGGGTGCTGACCCTGGCAGAGACCCTCAGCATTCCAAGCCCCTGATTTAGGCAAGATCTGATGCCATCAGCTCCATGCAGATCCCTGCCAGCCCACCCATTCGGCAGGAATTGGGATGCAGGTGGCTCTGGATGCCACCAGCCTGTCCCCATGGCTGGGATCAGATCCAGGAGCTCTGACACCTGGGATAGAGGGCTCCTCCCTCTCTGCAGCCTTTTCTCAAGCTTTTCCCAAGGAGCTGGGTCGGGATCCAGGCACCGGTGACGATGGTGGTGACACCAGGACCAGGAGCTGCCGCAGTCAGTGGGAATCTGACAGATTCCAGCTCCGCTCGAGTATTTTGGGGCCGCTGGCACCGGCGAGTCCCCGCTGCCGGCAGTGCATCATCCATACGTCTGTCCCTATATATATCCCTGCCTCCTCTCCCGGCCCCGCGTGCGACGGTTTGTGGCCTCTCCGCAGCTGGGATCACGCTGCTATTTCCATCTGCTCCTGCTGCCTGCCAGCACAAAGCAACGGGATCGGGAATCGCTGCGGATCCGTGCAACAGGAGCGCCGGGATCGCTGCGCTTTCAAAGATTTGGGAGGATAAAAGGAGCCCGGCGTTGGTGTAAAAGCCCAGGCAGAGCCAGGATTGGTGGCACCAATGCTGTTGGCAGCTTGGGAATGCCAAAATTCCCAGGTTTGGCTCAGCTGGAGGTGGAGCATGGGTAGGCAGCAGCCACCTCCCCTCCACCAGGGTGCAGGTGGCAAGGGGACAATGTCCCCTGTTGCCACCTCCAACTCTGCAACCCAGGCCTGAAAGGTGGATCCAGAGGGATCTTATCATGTGCAGGGAGGACACGGATGGCCCTCCTGCCATCCCTGCGTTTGGAGTTTCATTTATTTATTCAAGACCAGCATTCCGTGAATTATTTAACAGCCACCAGTGCCTTTTCCATGGCACCAGGACACAAGATATGGTTCCCTGCCTCTTCCTTCTCTTTGGAGTCACATTCCAGTGCCTGTCCCATGCCAAGGAACTCAGCTCAGACCTGGATGGGATGGGAACTCACTTGGCTCCAAGCAGGCTGCGGGGATCGCTGTTGTTTCTGAAGCCCCCATGGGGATCCCAATCCTAGCAGGATCCCAGAGTCTGGGTGGGATACTCAGTGATGGATGGGATAATACTGTGGGAATGCTCAGGGCTGGGGGGGATAACACTGTGGGAGGGGGATGCTTAGTGCCAAGGGGATGCCCATCCAACTGAACTGTGGTGCTCACCCAGGTGTGATGCCCCCATTCCCAGCCCAGGATCCACCCCCTGCTTTTCCCCAATCCCACAGATGACTCACACTGGCAGTTACTGACTGACCTTTATTACTGAGAGCAGGGGCTGCCTCCAGAAAACGAGGGGCCCCTCTCCCCAAAAATAGGATTCTTCAAAGGAGACGCCTCAACCTGTGTGCCCCATCCTTGGCATCGCCAGTGAGCACCCCCCACTCCAGCCGCTCCTCAGCCGGGCCAGGCCGGGCTCTTTAATGGATTTTTTATCTTTTTTTTTCCTTTTTTTTTGTCTTTTTTTTTTTTTTAATTTTTTTTTCCTGTTTGTCTTTATTTTACACACCAGTTGGATGTTACCGTCACATGAAGAAGAGAGAACCTGAACAAGATCACGGCTACGAGCTCTAGAGTTAAAAATGAACACACAAACCCCCGGGGAGCCCGACCGCGGACGAGGAATCCAGCCTGGAAAAGCGGGGTGCCCGAGGGGCCGTGGGGGGCACCCGGCTTGGCACAGCCCTGGCCCTGCCACCTCTTCCCCAGGCATGTAAGTCTCTTCTTTTATGTTAAAAAAAGAGAGAATATGACAAAAATACAAATGTCCCTAAAAGCGTTGTTATTACTGTAATAGCAGTATTATGACTTCTCTCCAGATTGTCCAAAATCGTCTAAATTGGGGCTGTGGGAGCTGCTGGGAGCCAAGGTTGCCACGGGGGGAGCAGGAAGACTGAGGATGATCTGGCGTCTGCCACGGAGAGCCACCACCGACCCCCTTGTCACCCCTGTGGGGCTCCCAAGTAGGTCTGTCCCTGTTTTTGGGGGTCGCAGGGAGTGGGAAGGGGTCTGGCGTGTGCATCCCAGGGCTCCGTGGGGATGCTGCTGCTGGCACTGATCCTGCCAGGCTGGCTGTCCCAAGGAATGCCACCAGCCCAGGGAATGTCACCTGCCCTCGATGGGGACAACAGCGCTCGCTCCACCCTTTATCCCCAGGGGTGGGCACGGAGCTCCCGGAGCAGCCCCGGCGCCCGGATCAGCCCGGCTGGAAGGGGACCCTGTGGAGCTCCGCATTCCCCCGAGGAGCCCCTTCCATCCCGGGCTGGGGGCGAGGGCAGGACCGGGGTCCCCAGGGCGGCTGAGGGACCCCCCGCTCCCGCCGAAACCCAAGACGGAGGTAAAGCATCGAACCCAGCTGAAGGCAGTGCACGAAGGAGCCCGCTTTGGATAAGGAACTGTGTCATGGCTTCCGATCCCAGGAAAAGGGGCTGTCCCCTCCCCTCGGTGTCCCCCGCCAGCCCCGGGAGACTCGAGGGGGCGGGGGGGGGGCGAGGCCGGGGAGGGGCCGAGGGGCTCCGGGAGCGGGGCTGGAAGCACTCGCAGAAGTCCTGCCCGGTGGTGGGAATAGGGATGGGGGGACATCGCTTCTGGCACCTCCTCGGCCGGGGTTGGGGGCGGCTCCGCATCCCCCACACCCCAGGGAGAGGAGAACCCGGGGGCTCGGGGGGGCTCCGTCCCCGTCCTCCCGCAGGGTTCCCGCGAGTCAGGCCGCTGTCCCGCCGGTCCCTGGCCGGGAGCGCCGCGGGAAGGGGCTGGGAGCTGGGAAGGGGGACCCCGAGCCCGCGGTCCGGGGCGCTCAGGCCTTCAGCTGGTGCCACTGTGCCACCGCCTGCCGCGGGCGGGCGATCATGTCCTTCCAGTGCTTCACCTCGCCGGGACCGCTCTTCCAGGACAGGTAAATCTGCGGGAAACGCATCCCTGGAACCACCACAGCTTCTCCATCCCCATCCCGCTGCCCGGCTCTGACGCCTTCACCCCCAAACTGCTCCAGCCCCGCTTTTCCGGCTCGGCACAGAGCCGGGCTATTTTTATCTCTCAATTTTCCATATGGCGCCGCGGAAAAGCGCGTGTGCCAGCTCTCGCTGCTGCTGCTGCCACCTCGGGGAGCCGGTGCCACTGCTCCGGCTCCGCGGATCATCACCGGCGAGCCGGGATGGAGCAGAGCTCGCTCCTAATTACGAGATCAAAAGTGATTAGCGAGCCTCAGGCCACGGCGGGGTTTTAACGGAGAGTGGGATATCATGGCCACTGCCTGTCCATCCCTGGAATCAGGCTCTTGGATGTGCCCACACTGGGGACGCTGCCCCCTCTGCCCCTGCTCAGCAGCCTGCGGCGCTGATCTGGGGATTTATTTAATGGATTTATTCCAGCTGCTGAGTTGTCCCGACCCCAGCATGGCATTTGGGGATCACGGATGGAGATTATGGCGCTCATTTGTCATCGCTGCGCTAACGATGAGCTGGGTGATTTCATGGATAATTCCACCTCTCCTGTCTCTGGGAGTAATCCCAGGGGGTGGGATCCATCCTGGTGTGGCTCCCCATGCTCCATCCCTCCATCCCTGCCTTTCTGGGAGAGCTCCAGCCCTCTGTGGCCATGACACCCAGCACGAGGGGTTTGCGCCACACTTCACACTGGAGATGGCACCAGGCACTGGCAGCCTGGGCCTGGCTGTCCCCGATTCCCAGCTGGGTGTCCCTCAGGCATGTCACCCACCTTGCCAATGACGTCATTGCGGCTCAGCCTGTCCTTGTCCATGACGGTGATGACGATGGTGGTCTCGCGCAGCCGCTCCGTGGGGATGTCGAAGGCGAAGGACTCGTTGAAGACGGGATTCAGGCACCTCTTCATCACCACCGTCTTCTTCTTCTCCACCCGCTTGTCCTTGTACATCAGCCACACCTTCACATAGGGATCTGGTGGGACAGGAGATCCCTCAGCCCTGGATGGGAGCTAGGGAATGCTGCCCAGGATAGGGGCCAGCCGGTGCCGTACCTGAGGTGCCCCCGATGTCCATGGCTTTGAGGTTCCGCGCCTTGATGATGTTCACCACGATGGAATTGGCTGAGGGATTGTAGCACAGCGACAGCAGCAGCTCCCCACGGCTTCCCTGCAGGACACACACGTTCTCTGAGGACACCCATGCCCCCCAGA